GTGCGTAGTACTCGGCCTGGGCGAGGGTATACGTTTGAGAGGTTGGCCGAGGGTTGCTCGGCATCGGCGCGTAATTGCGTAACGCTCGGCCAAAGTACATCCTTATCCGAGGAGAGGTACTCGGGGGGGAACCTGTTAGGCTCGAGTGTGTCTGAGAGGTCAGGCGAGGGTTGCTCGACGTCTACGCGTAAGTGCGTAGTACTCGGCCTAGGTACATCCTTAGCCGAGGTGTGTACTCGGGAGGGAAACCTGTATGGTACGAGTACGCTTGAGAAGTCGGCCGAGGGTTGCTCGACATCGGCGCGTAAGTGCGTAGTACTCGGCCTAGGTACATCCATAGCCGAGGAGGGTACTCGGGAGGGAACCCTGTATGGCACGAGTACGCTTGAGAGGTCGGCCGTGGGCTACTCGGCATCGGCGTGTAAGTGCGTAGTACTCGACCTAGGTACATCCTTAGCCGAGGAGGGTACTCGGGAGGGAACCCTGTATGGCACGAGTACGCTTGAGAGGTCGGCCGTGGGCTACTCGGCATCGGCGTGTAAGTGCGTAGTACTCGACCTAGGTACATCCTTAGCCGAGGAGGGTACTCGGGAGGGAACCCTGTATGGCACGAGTACGCTTGAGAGGTCGGCCGTGGGCTACTCGGCATCGGCGTGTAAGTGCGTAGTACTCGACCTAGGTACATCCTTAGCCGAGGAGGGTACTCGGGAGGGAACCCTGTATGGCACGAGTACGCTTGAGAGGTCGGTAGAGGGTTGCTCGGCTTAACTGCGCGTTATGCATAGTGCTCGGCCTAGGTGCATCCTTAGCCGAGGAGGTTACTCGGGAGGGAGACTTGTAAGGCTCGAGCGTACTTTGAAGCGGTCGGCCAAGGATTGCTTGGTTCAAGTGTGCGAGAGTGCGTAGTGCTCGGCCTATGTGTGACCCTAACAACAATAAAGAATAGGAAACAACATCATGAAATTTGAAGTTTTTATTAATGAAGTGCCTCGTTAAAAACCTTGCCGACCCAAAATCCTCCTTAGGGAAAAAAGAGTCGGTCAAGTAAAAGAGTGCACTGATACATCAACTGTAATACACTTTTAAAGGCGAGGAGTTCCAAGTTCTCGGAATTGGTTCTCCTGATAGGTACTCCAGCTTGTATGCCCCGTTGTTTAGATTGTGTCCGACGCGGTAGGGTCCGTCTCAATTTGGGGCGAGCTTCCCTTGTCTCGAATCCTTTCTCGCCTCGCCCGTGGCTCTCCAAACAAGATCTCCTTCTTGGAATTCTCTATGCTTCACCTTGCTGTCGAATCTTCTTTTGTAGCGTTGCTTGGTGGCCTCGGCCACGACTAATGCTCGGTGACGAATTTCTTCTGCCATGTCCAAATTTGTACGAAGCTTGGCCTCGTTACTCGCTTCATCGAAGTGGGCTCGGCGGAATGACGGTTCTCCGATTTCCACTGGGATCATCGCGTCGGATCCATAGACCATACGGAAAGGGGTTTCTTGCGTGGTTGACTGGGGGTGCACCGATAGGCCCACAATACCTCGGGTAGCTGCTCGGCCCATGCTCTCTTTGCTTCCCCTAGCCGTTTCTTCAATTCTGCTAGGATGACCTTGTTAGCTGACTCGGCCTGACCGTTCGTTTGTGGGTGCTCGACCGATGTGACCTTGTGCTGTATTCCTAGGCCTGCTAGGAACTTGTTTAGTTTTCGGTCGGTAAATTGCAGGCCGTTTTCGGTCACCAGGGTGTGTGGGATGCCGAATCGGGTGATGACATTCCTCCAAAAGAATTTTTGGACTTGATGAGTTGAGATGCACGCCAAGGGCTCGGCCTCAATCCATTTGGTAAACAAATCCACGACTACAATGAGGAATTTGCATTGCCCTTTGGCAACCGGGAAGGGTCTGAGTATGTCGGCCCCCCATGTGGCGAACGGCCACGCCAGGGGAATGCAATGCAACTGCTCGGCTGGTTGGTGGATTAGGTTGCCATGCTTCTGGCATGGTTGGCACTTTTTTACAAACGTTGCGCAATCGATATTCATGGTCGGCCAATAGTACCCGACACGCAAGAGTTTGGAAACTGTCGTTCTCGCTCCCGAGTGCATTCCACAAATACCTTCATGAACTTCTCGCATCACGTAATCGGCCTCGGTGCGGTCTAGGCACTTGAGCAATGGGGTGGAGAAACCACGCTTGTACAACTGACCGACGATGATAACGTATCTGCTAGCCTGGGTTCTCAGTCGTTTTGCTTCGGCTGGGTCGTTAAGCGCAACTCCGTTGGTGATGAACGCTTTGATCTCGACTCGCCAATCTATGGAGCCACTAGGATCGGCGTGGTCGGCATCGACACTTCCTACCATTTCTACTTCAACGCTAGGTCGGTTGATCTCTTGCTGGATGATGGTTCTTAATTGGCCCGGCTTCTTTGTCGCTGCCAACGTAGCCAGCTGATCGGCTCGCGTATTATCTTCTCTCGGGATGTGCTCGACTGACACCTCCTGAAAATTCGTCTTCAACCTTTGATAGGCGTGGTAGTACTTCATCATGTTGTGGTCTTTCACTTGGAAGTTACCACCTATTTGCTCGGCCACCACCTTGGAGTCAGTTCGGCATTTGATCCTTAACGCACCCATGTCTTCAGCCAATCTTAATCCGGCTAGCAGAGCTTCATACTCAGCTTGATTGTTCGACGCTTTGAACCGGAAGCGCAGGGATTGTTCTAGGGTTATGCCTTTCGGTCCTTCTAAGATCACTCCTGCCCCGCTCCCTTGGTGATTTGAGGAACCGTCCACATGGAGAGTCCACCAATGTTCCTCAAAGTGGTCGTGCAGATGGAGCTCGTTCACGAAGTCGGCTAGGCACTGGGCTTTGATCGGTCCCCTCGGCTTGAAAGCGATGTCGAATTGTGAGAGCTCGACTGACCAAGCCATCATTCTTCCGGCTAGCTTGGGTTTGCCCAAAACCTTATAAATCGGGCAGTCGGTATAGACAACTACCCGGTGACTCTGGAAATAGTGCCTCAAACGTCGGGAAGTGTGTACCAAGCCGAGCGCCACCTTTTCTATGAGTTGGTACCGTGTTTCGGGGTCCTAAAGTAGTCGGCTTACAAAGTATATGGGGACTTGGCTGCCTTCTCTTTCTTGTACCAGGACTGAGTTGATCGCTTCCTCCGAGACGGCCAGGTATACTTCGAGTGGGTGCGAGGGGTCGGGTCTCGTCAAGATAGGCAGAGACGCCAAGGCTACCTTCAGCTCTGTAAAGGCTTTTTCACACGTCTCATTCCACAAGAAGGCCGAAGCCTTCCGTAGGAGCTTGGTCATCGGGCTGATCTTGTCGGCTAGACGGGGGAGGAATCGGGATAATGCAACTAGCCTTCTGGATAGCCGTTGCATTTCCTTCAAATTGCTCAGACTCCGCATGTCTAAGACAGCTCGGCATTTATCTCGGTTCGCCTCTATTCCCCTAGCCGACAGCATAAACCTGAGAAATTTGCCTCTTTTAACCCCGAAGGTACACTTCTCGGGGTTGAGCCTCATGCTATGCTTGCGTAGTTCACTAAAGACTTCGGTCAGGTCAGCTATATGGTCGGTTAAGGAGTTGGACTTGACTACCATGTCGTCCACATAGATCTCGATGTTTCGGCCAATTTGACCCTTAAACACCTTGTCCATTAATCTTTGGTAGGTCGCCCCGACATTCTTTAACCCAAATGGCATCACTTTGTAGCAAAAGTTAGCGTCCTCGGTTATAAACGTCGTCTTCTCTTCATCGGTCGGGTGCATCTTTATCTGATTATAACCGGAATAGGCATCTAAAAAGCTGAAGATCGAGTGTCCGGACGCGCCGTCCACGAGTCGGTTGATGCAAGGGAGTGGGTAGGCGTCCTTGGGGCAGGCCTTATTAAGGTCGGTGTAATCAGTACACATTCTCCATTTTCCATTCGTCTTTTTGACCAACACTACATTGGCCAGCCAGGTGGTGTAGGTAACCTCTCTGATGAAGTTGGCTTGCAACAGTTTCTGCACTTCGGCATTGGCGACCTTTCTCTTTTCATCTCCCATCTTTCTCTTCTTTTGTGCGACTGGTCGAGCGTCGCGGCATACGGCCAGTCGATGGCACATGAATGAGGGGTTTATTCCCGGCATGTCTGACGCCGTCCATGCAAAGAGGTCTTTGTTGTCTCAAACCACTTGTTTCACCTGGTTCGAATCTTCCTCGCTCAGCTGGGATCCCATGTGGGTGACCTGTTCAGGTGTTCGCCCGAGTTGAAAAGGAACGAGGTCTTCGGCCGGCTCGATTCGCTCTTCCTCACCTAGGCGAGGGTCGAGATCCAAGTCCTCTGTCATCTATCTTATTACGTTTACGCCTTCCGACGTCGACGAGGGATCGAATATGGGTCGAACTTTTAGGCTAGAGAAGTAACACTCTCTTGCCGTTTTCTGGTCGGCGTGAATGGTTATTACTTGTCCATCCCTCGACGGGAACTTCATGCACAAGTGAGGGGTCGAGACGATGGCCCGAAGTGCATTGATGGAGGGTCAGCCAAGTAGGACATTGTAGGATGTATTCGCGTGCACGACGATGTAATGGATTTTGATCTGTCGGAAACACTTTTGGTAGAAACCGAAGCGAGTGTACAAGTCGATGCATTCCCTCGTCATTACTCTTTCACCGGAGAACCCTACTAGCAGTTCGTGATATGGTTCTAGGCTTTCTTCTGGGATCCCTAGTTGCACAAAAGTGTTCCAATATAAGATGTCGGCCGAGCTTCCCTGGTCGACCAGTGTTTTCTTCACGATGCAGTTGTGCATTTCGACCGAAATTACCATGGGGTCGTCTTGTACGGGGTCGACGCCACGGAAATCCCGGTCGGAAAATGTTATAGGTGGCATCTTCGGCTGGTTCACATTGTTAACTGACCGAACGGCGCGGAGGTGTCGCTTTCGTGCTGAAGAGGAGGAGCCTCCACCGGCAAAGCCTCCGGCTATTGTATTGATCACCCTCTGTGGTCAGTCATTGTCCTCCCTGGGACGCTGCGATCGATCTTGGCGTTCAGCCGAACGAGATCGGCGACGTCGGTCTCTCGGTGGACGAGCTTCGTGAGAGTGGTGGTTTCTTTCCCTTGTCTGGTGGTCTTGGGAGGTGATAAAGCTTCTGAGGTGACCCTGTTTGATAAGGTCCTCGAGCTTGTCCTTCAATGCGGAGCATTCTTCGGTGGAATGCCCCCTGTTTCGGTGGAATCGGCATGTTTTAGCTTTGTCGGCTCTAGGAGGTGTGTTCGCCCTTTTCGGCATTGTAAGGATTTCTGATGCGAGGGCCTGCTCCATCACTTTGGCTCTACTCGCATTGAGGGGAGTGTACACCGTGTAGCGGGGTCCTCTTGGGGGGCGAGTATTCGAGGACTCGGCGTTCGTCTTTCTCACCTGCTCTCGGCTAGATTCTTTTCGGTTATGATTTTCTTCGGCCCTGGCCTGGTTCCGGGTCTCTGCAAGTTCTTCCATTTGCATATACTTCTCGGCTCGGCGCCGGAGATCGTTCATATCAATTGGCGGCTTCTTACACAAGGTGTTCACGAAAGGTCCAGGCCTCAGAGCGGTGCTCAGCCGGTCCAATGCTACGGCAGGGTTAAGATCGTCGATCTCCATAGCAATCTTGTTGAAGCGGTCCATGAAGCTTCTCAGACTTTCCTTCTTTTCTTGACGGACCCCCGCTAGCGCTAACGAGGTCGTCCTGTACGGTTTGCTCGTCGCGAATTGGAGAGTGAATTGAGATGACAGCTCATTGAATGAGTCGATGGAAGAGCTCGGCAACCTCGTGAACCAGCTCAGAGCTCGTCCTTTTAGCAACGTAGGGAATATTCGGCATAAAGCTGAGTCGTCTTGGGTGGAGAGGGTCGCTTGCGTCAAGAAGACGTTCAGGTGTTCATCGGGGTCGGTAGATCCGTCGTACTTTTCGATTGGCAGACTCTTCCAATGATCCAGCAGGGTTGCTTTCATTATCCTTCGTGAGAAAGGGTGTCTCAAGGAGTGAACGTTGGCGTCAGCCTTGTTGCCCGTTAGAGAGGTAACTGGTGTTCGGGTCACATGGTCGGTTGGGGCATGGTATGCCGACTCCTTTTGGAGAGTAGGAGTTGACGGCACGTACGTTTGATTCAGACTTCTGAGCTCGGCATTTTGTCGACGCAGCTCGGCTAGTTCTCGAGCATCGGCCTCCCTCTGCCTTCGAATGGCGACCATTTCCTCGTGCAGTGCGCGCATGTCATCTTGGAGGTTGGGCTGAGCTCGGTTAGTGTTCGGCTGGGCCTCTTGTATCATAGGTTCCGGCTGGGTCTGAGGCATTCCATACGGGTATCGTTCTTGGTTGTTCATGGTGGGATTGCTCTCGGGATTAGGAATCGGTTGAGTCGTTGTTGATTGTCCCTTGCGCGTTACTACCATATCTTGGTCTCAGTCGTAGAGTTTAAAGGGGCTGAAAACGTCTCTTCGGCCCCACGGTGGGCGCCAAATGTTCCTGTGTTAGGATACACACTTCAATTATCTCCGTAGTGGCGGGTCTGGTTTGGAGTCTCGGTCTTCTCGTCTCTTTCCGGGTAGTCCGAAGTGAGGGGGTGTGCCTGCAAAGACACTCCAACGCTCAAGTGCTCGGTGTAATAAATGCGGTAGTTGAAAGTTAGTTACATACCTCGTTGGGGTCCTATTTATAGTGGTTCTTATTGGGCCGTGATTAGGGATTAGGCTCCGGAAAATTAGGGAGCTAATCCGATGCATTATGTTAATTAAGCTCTCCGTAATCATCCTGGCTGAGGCGCTGAGCTCGGCCGACCATACCGACGCGTTTTATTCACTTTCAGAGTGGTCGGCGGGCTCGGTTATTTCGGTTTAGATGTTCACGGGTTCGGGCATTCGGCCTGATCGGCCACCATACGGTATAGAAGAAATTCTGCATACATAGATTGTTGAGAGTATTATGTATATTTAGATTTATATATATATTTGACCAAACATAAGTTATTTAGCTAAAATTAGGAAGACGATAAAGTAACTCAAGAATGAACATTTAAAAGGTATAAAGAAGGTTATGTGATATTTACAAGGAATGAAGGATCACATGCATGCTTACATATGAGATCTCATCACCTTAAGGTGATTGAATATTTAGTCTCAAATTTGATTGGATATGTGGATACAAGAAAAAATCACCCTCGATTATATGTTTCTTTTAATCAGAGGAGTAGTACTATTGAAGATTACAAAGCAATCAATTGTTATTCCTTCCACTTTGGAAGTTGAATAATTTGTAGCTTGTTTTGAAACCAAAATTCAAGCAAATTATTTTGCTACAAAATTTATTTCAAAGCTTGGAACTGTCATCAGTATTATATATCAAATCACTAAAAAAATATTTGCTACAAAATTTATTTCAAAGCTTGGAACTGTCATCAGTATTATATATCAAATCACTAAAAAAATATATTATGATAACTTTGCAGCAATATTATTTGATGTTAATAATATTATAACTCTTCAAGTATAAACGATTAAAAATAATTTTACATAAATTTATAATTAGATTTATATACTTTGATTTAAATAGTTATTAAAATATTTTATAAAAAAAGTATAAATTTAGTGACAATTTTATAAAAATGAAAAATACAAACATAAACATGGTTCATATAATAAATGTATAAATAAAACATACATAAATATATATAAGTTTGAATTGAATTTTCAAATTTGAAATATGATCCAATCCAATAAAAATATTCCAGTTTTTTCAATTTTTTGTTTGTTCCATTTTCAATTCTTTGTGGTTTTGGATTTTTCTCCCAGAATTTTTATTGGATTAGTCGGTTTATGAACACCTTTAGTATTATTTCTTCCCTCACCAATCACTTATGAAGAGGAGACACGAAGGAAGTAAAACCTTGTTTCATACACATTTCAAGCAAATCAAAGCGTACCAAAGATATTGTAGAACTCTCATAATGGGAAAAAAAAAAGTGTTATTTATTGATATAATGAGAAACATTAATTGTGCTGCTGGTATATGTGTGAATTTAAAATATCTTTCATTAATTATTTTTAAGATGATTAATTACATTTTTGAAAAAATATTGTCACGAAAGTTTGTCTTATATCCAAACCATATATAACTAACCATTCTTTACTAACTTGTAATTAACCTAGTGCTACATATATATACATATTATATATATATATATATATATATATATAAACTATATATTTACAATTTCTTCAATACAATATGATGCTTTTTTTTTTGTTTTCTTTCTACTTTTGCATACCTTTCCGAAACCCGGATGTTCTTTGAAGAATTATCTTTACATAAACTATTAATTCTTTAGTTAACAGCATAAACAGAACTTTCCTTGAGCAAGATAGAGAAATCGTATTCTTGTTCAACAAGAAGGAAGGAAGCATAGAACATGAATCGATTTTTAGTTTCATTATTCCCTTTTGGGGCCACTTTCTTTGGTTTTTTTACACACCCAAATAAATATTCTTTTATTTTAGTGAAACTTATTCTTTGCTTGTGGCAGAGATGGTTTTAGTGACCCAAAAGTTTCTAAACTTCTAGTGTTCTACTTTATAATGTATATGATTATTGGTTCCCAAAAATTTTATAAACTAATCAAAGCGATTCGTTTTATTCTATCAAGAGATTTGGTTTTTGGTTTAATATGTGACTATAGTTTATTGGATTAATTAGTGAAAAGTTTATTTACTTTTACCAGAAAAATATCCTAATAATAGAGAATAATTTTAATGAAAATAACTTCAAAAATAAGATATTTTTTCTACAGTAATGGAGCAAGATATCACTATTGCATCCATGACTCAATCATGCATAACTACATAATCCTAAAAATTTTACCTTGAGTGTGTCTAGTAAGATATTTGAAGAGTTTATAAGTTGTTTTGATTAACTTATAAATTAGTTAAATTAAAATAAATTTGTTTAGTATACAAACTTATTTTAGAAATTTATAATACATTTTCATAAACTAATTAAAGTAGTTTATAATTTATAAATTTTTAATTTTTTTCTTTCCTTTTTTATTCTCATTAGTTTATTTGAATCCTTTTTCAAACCTTTTAATTTATAAATCATTTTGCCTAAGTATTATTCTTTCATTTTCATTATTAAATAAACAAATATATAATTTTACATTCATAAGTTAATTTTATCAAACATTCTCAATTCATTGAGGTAACTTATAAATTTCCAATTTTCCATCTCCTAATTTATAAACTTTAGCTAATTTATAAACTTTTAACCAACTTATAAACTAATTTTATCAAATAAACCATGTAAATTGGTCCAAATTAATCTAATGTGAGGGCTACTTTTTAGATTACGTCTTATTTGGTTGAAGTGTCAAATGTGATCTACGTCGTGTTCAGTTAATTTTTATAACCCGACAATTTTGTCTTTTCCTTTTATCTTTTAAATAATATTACTTTTATTTTAATTCTTTTTAAATAAATTTTGCTTAAAATGTAAATTTTTTTTTAATAACTTCAGCATAATTTGATCGAATTGATTCAAATTTAATTCAAGTCCTTCAAACCATGAGCCTTCAAGTGAAACACGCTAGGGCTTGAATTCTCATTGCTAAATGGGAGCAATTAGAAATTTAACTTCACCCTTTGCAATCAATATAATTGTGGTTGTTAATATAACCAAAATATGATTATGGTTGTTAGCGTTAGACATCAAACTCATATTAATCATCAAAATTTTCACCTACTATTTTGACTCCTAACACGCCCCCATTTGCTATTTAAGTGTCTATTTAAAACACAACTCATTTAGATAAACAATAGGGCAGGATAGTCAACATTTTCACCCGAATGTGCCATAAAAATAAAAACTACTGATGACAGATGTTCTAAAAAAACCATTTTTAAGAAAAAAATAGAAAGAAACTTTTTCATAAATTTAACTTCTGCATAAGTTAAAAATAAAATTTTAGAAAAATTAATAAAAATGAACTTATACAAATTAAGTTACGTACAAGTTAATTTTAATTTGTCAAGAAACTTATTTCATTTTTTTTTTTATTTTTCTCCCCTAAAAGTGTCCCTAGAAAATTTTATCCAGGAAGATCCCAAGACTGCAAAAATGAATATGATAAACATCATAATCCTTACTGTGATTCTGAAAAGAATCATTCAAAAATGAAATGATGCACAATGCTCCTTCGGATTGGACTCAAACTAAGTTTGTTTGTTTGTTTCATCTTTGGAATAAAAGATGTTGAAACAAAAGCAGAAAATAGTTACTTCTCAAACGTGCTTGGAACATGTGCTGCCGGGTACACAAACAAGACTGAAAAGAAATCACACACATCCAAAATGATACTGTTTTGAATGAAAATTGGCACATGATATACCCCCAAAAGGGAATTCCGAAATGTCTCGAGAAAAATAAGAAATCATCATGAAATGACACTGATCGGAAATAATGAAGCTAAAACGCTTTGAAACCAAAATGATGGATAGTGAAAGTGACATATGAACTGTTCTGTTCAATGGCTTTGAACTAAGTAGGCTACCTTTGCTGAATTATATTGTTCAAGAATCAAGAAACAACCAAGTTCACATGGTAGGTGCAGAGGAATCAAAAAGCAAGTAGTTATTTTTGCTTCAATTTTGATGTGATTTCTATCTAAATGGAGATCATGAATATGGAACCAAACACGCAGGTAGAGTCCAAACATGACTTTTTCCATTCAAAGGGAACAACCAACCATTAAACATGAATGACAATTGAATCTTTATGGAAATAACTAAGCTTCATTCATATTGAACTATTTAGAACCCAGAGAAACATTTCATGAATGAAAAATATGTACATAGAACTCAGCATACACATCAAAGCAGTTAAAATTGCAAAGAAAGATGCAAGTCTTGAAAAAATGTTCAACAAAAGACAACATTCGGATTATATGATGCAAGATCTCGTCTAAAATGATTATAGAATAAAATGACTATTCATCCATCATCCATCATAGTTCTCTAATCTAAACAAAGCTAATTCTCAAGCATGGCCATATTAGAGCATCTTCAATGGGGGTTGCTTATAAGCAACCCCATGTGTCACATCACTGCCACATCAACTCTGGTCCACTTTATGGGTTGCTTAAATTTTAGCAAAGTTGCTTCTACACGCAACTTTGCTAAAATTTAAGCAACCCATAAAGTGAGTCAGAACTGATGTGGCACAGGGAGTTGCTTATAAGCAACCCCCATTGCACATGCTCTTAGTACCCAACATTTCAATTTCGAATTTCTTGAGGAAAAGAGAATTATTGTTACAACATAAACCAATAGATCACTGTAATTTGATAAGCAATCAGAGACAATCAAATAAAAAATAAAATGCTAGATTTCCAGTCTTGCATGTTTGATACCCAATGCTGTATTGCAGTGATTAATGTTAAATTTTATGGCTTGGAGATTCCTGCCAGAGCAACAAGATATTACAATTAAAAAATTCAGGACAAGTCCAGATCTTACTGTACAAGTGTATTAATCTGCAACAAGGCTAAATACAAACTACTTATTCAAACTCAGCAAAAGAAAAAAATACAATTCACAAAAAATGAAATACTGTGTTTGGCTATGTTTAAATAATTGATAACAAAACAATGCATACACCTACATTATTATACATGAAAACCTGTCCATCTTCTAAACCTTCCAATATCCCTCCCTTCCGAAACAGCCATTCCAATTCCAAATCTTCCTCCATTTCCAACACCTCTATAATACAACCTCCACTCATTTCCTTCTGTGTCCATTTCAACCAGACATGGGGATCCAACATCCTTATCATCCCAACAACCGAGCTCTGATGGCTTCAAAACCGCCTCATCCTGAAGCCTCAGCCATTCCTTCAACCCATCAGGAGACACAGCCACACCAATGCTCCTCCTCCCGTCAGCAGCAACACCTTCATACACCATGACATAGTTCCCCCCCTTCCGGTTCCTTATCACACATGCATTCATCGCTCCAAACTCATCAAAAGAGCCAGCTTTCCCTCCCCCCATTATTTTCCCCAACTTCACCCACCTGATTCCATCCCTTGACCTGGCAATCCCAACTCCAAAATGGCCCTTTTCCACATCAAATGAATGGTAATACATCCTAAGATCACCATTCCCATGGTATACAACTTGTGGGGAAGAAATAAACAAAGAATCCCACTCCTTTTCACCACCAACATCAATCAATGCCCCACTATGATGCTCCCCCTCAATCCTAGCCCAATGCCTCCCATCCTGACTAATAGCCAAACCAGGCAAGGACTTGAAAACCTTCCCATTACCACAACTCACACCACCTTCAATTCCATCAGGGTTTTCCACACTAAACTCCAAAGAGTGATCAGAAAACTCCACCCTTTCAGAACCATAGCCAGTGTAGTAAAGCCAGTACACAGCACTGGAAGCCCTAACTCTAGAACTAGACATGATCACCATCTCAGAAGGCCTAATGCCACCAGTGTCAAAACCCCACCAATCCTTACCACAACTCATCACAAAACCCACATCAGAACTTGACCTAGCAGGCCCTCCCCCACGCTCCCAATGAACCCCATTGCTTGAAATTGCCAACCCTATCAAATCACAAGAAGGGTGCCCTTTGGCCCTCCCATGGTACCACATGTACCACCTCTCTTCCTCATCACTCAGAAACCTCTTCACCACAGGGGACCCAACATCTGCACCGTCCCAAGAGTTTGAAGGACCCAAATCAAACACCAACCCTCTTGAGGAAGAGCAAGGTGGAGGCTTTTGTGAAGGTTGTGGAGAGGAAAAGGCTTCACTTGATGAATCTGGTTCTGGGTCGTTTTGGAAGTTGGAAATTGAGTTGGGTTCATTGTGTTGGGTCTCACTGTTGGCACTGGTGTCTGGTTTCGTGGAGCAACGTAGGAAAGATGGGAACTTTGAGGAAACCGGAGAGAGGGTGTTGTTGGGTTTGGTGGAACATGCCCATGATGGGATTAAGGTTGTCGGCGGGGTTAAACGTCGAAAAATCGAAACTTTCGATAGTGCGTTGTTTCGGGGTTGTTGTAATGATGGAAGGGCCATTGATGGTGATGATGAGGGGGATGAAACGTCCATGGCTGTGGAATGATCAATGCGTGGCTGAAATTGAAGTTGGAGAGGGAATTTGAATGAGACAAAAAGAAGGGTGTGTGTTTGTGTGGTGCAAGCTTAACAAAAAAAGGGTGGGAAAGAAATGCAATTGGAGGGTTCTTTGTTTTTATGTTCCCTAATATGTGCAATTTGTAATGTATGAAAAATTCGGGGTGGTGCTGTTGGCAAAGGACTCAAAGCATGGTGGTGGTGTGTATTTACTTACTCCAAGAAAATGAGGATTTTGTTTTGGTTGGTTGAGATGGGTTTCATTCCACTTTCCACGCAAGAGGTCAAGGAAAGGAAAATGGCATTGTCTGAAATGTGATCCAATTTTACACATCACAAATTCAAAGAATGATTAGGAAATTACTTTATTGGGTCTCACTTTCTTGCTTCTCTTCTTTTGGAATTGGATCCCTTTGATTTTGGGATGCAAATTTGTGTGGTGTGGTTTGCTTATCATGTAGAAGATTTGGATAAAGTTGTTTAAGTAATTTGAGTTTCATTTTTCAATCACTTTATCCTGCTCAAAGTTTTTAAAATTGGAGTGTAATATATATACACACTTAAATATTTTTTTATCTTTCTAAAATTTTAAATCAATATTTTTAATTCATATCAAATAAACAAATTTTGATTTTTGCCTTTATAAAATATTTTTAATTCTTATTTTTAAAAATTAAAAATTATTATATCTAGTCACTAACATTTAATTTTTTTTAAGTCCGACAATTTTATTATAACTAATTTCCATCATAAATTTATCTAAACCATCTTTAAAGTAGTCACTCTTCCTAATTACATTTTTTTTTCATATATAACATCCAAGTCCAAGACACTAACATTCATTTTGGAATACATAAATAAAATTTATTTTAAAATTCTATAAAAAAAAAATTTAGATATACCACGTGCTAATTTAATATGGTCACCTTATCATTTCATAAGCACAACATAATAATAATAATAATAATAATAATAATAATAATAATAATAATAATAATAGAAGAGATTAAAATAATAATTTCAAACTTTATATATATATATATATATAATTATAGAATCTTAGATCAAATTTTATTCATTTTATATAGATTAAAAATATATTTAAATTAATATTTTTATTTCAAAAGAAAACATCAAAAACACGAGAGAATCTAAGTCTTGTCCTAATATTATTGGATCAAAACCAATGATAAGTTCGAAAAGACTGACACATGTGCATCCAGGCTGCTGTTTTTTCCTTGGAGAGAACGGTTTCAAATCCAATAATTTATGTTAGCTTCTTTTATGTTTGATTTTGCAGCAGTCAAGACATTTTGTAAAACCAGAACAGTGAAAGTGTCCAATAAAGAATATATATTTATGTACTATATTATTTCTTTTTGTATATTCTTTACATAATATAATAATTCTTTTAAACAGTAAAATCAACAAAGCTTGGAAGGAATTAAAGAAATGGTATCGCTTTCCCTCCAAGAAACAATCAGTGACCAATCTTTTAGTTGGTGAAACCCATCCCTTTCTGCTGTTCTTTCTTTACTGACTTCTCACTTTACATAGCACATTAATATAGAAGAGATTCTTTTGTGGCTCTTCTTTGGACCACACAATAAACTTAATTTGTGGTGTTAGCATGGCAAGATATGGCTGAGGGAATGAGATTGGTTTTTAGATGAGTGCTTCTCAGGATAGTGTAACTTTCCTCAAGTTTGATTACCACTTCAACCACACCCATATAAATATTGTTTCTTTTAAAAATCTTGCCGATTTCAAATTTTGACTTGGCACTTATTTTTCTATTTTTGCCTTCACTACTTCCCTTTCTTATCTTCAAGTACAAGTTGTGGCAGAGAGCCATAGACTGTTGCACTGAGCCGAAAGGTTCCACGGAACAACTCAATTTATACCCATCATTGATTTCAAAATCTCATAAATTAATAAAATTGACTCGTTTATTTATTTCTATTTTAACATGAGTTTGCCTTTAATTTAGTAGTACCTATTAATAATGTCGCCAAAAAGAATTATTGCTGGGAGGGGTATATTTTAAAATCCAAATGGAATCAATCTTACAACTGAACATAGACCAAAGGTTTTTATGATACAAATTATGCACTTTTTTACATTTAATTATTTTCTACCATTTGATATTTTCTCCTAGCACACCCCCCACCCCCCACCCCCCCTCCCCCTCCCCGAATGAGATAATTTTACTTTTATACAATTCAACCCAAAAAGAAAATTCTTCTAAAAACTGAATGATACAACCATTGCAAACCCACTCAACAGGCATGCTTCTATATATTTTAGCGGAAAACTAACAAAGTTGTACTCACTTTACTGCACGTGGGATAACATTCGAAGCCTTCAACAAATAATGTAAATTGTTCACACTGGAAACTCGTACTGGATGAAATCGGTATAAAGACAGAAAACAAAACTATAACAGATATAGAATGAGGAATTCACAATTTAAGTTTAAGGTTTGTCAAACTCCATAATAGTGGCAAAATTTTTGTATCAATAATTGGCGCTACAGATACTCTTAAACTCTTTGTAGCAAGTAATCTATGTTCAACAAGGAAACATTTTAGTGATGGCATGTGCTACGAAACTCCATGGAAAACATGGGTAGCCTGGAAGAATCAATCCTCGCATGAAATTTTGGTAAAACTTTCTATTGCAGTTGATCTAATACAACAAATAAATACTTCACCTTATATCTTGAAAGAAGTACACACTTTTCAGTCGCTGATGCCTGAATGGTAAATATTATTGTCAGAGCTAATTTTCAAAATAGCCAAAGATTCAATGTAGTGTAGCTTTGCCTCCATAAAAATCACTAATCACCACCCCCTCCGGTTCTCTCCATTGCCTCGGCTTTCTGCTGCTTCACAATTTTGAGTATCTTGGGATTGAAGAACCGATCACGAACATATTTCCTCTCCTCAGCTTGTATCTCCTTGATAGCACTAGGAAATGGGTTCGGAGGAAGTCTCTTTCCTTGAAGACGTGCAATTTCCTTCAAACGGGTATATGCTTTCTTCTTTGCCTTTTTCTCTGTCAGATATTCCATCTAGGAAGAAGGAACCAAAGAAAAACAATCCAACTGAGTTTAAGAAGACAAAAGGGGAAAGCAAATTGTAGAGATAACATTCAGGAACCAATTTAGGTTACATACATCAGCTATAGCCATTGCTTGCTCCTCACTAACGCCATGCTCTTTCAATTCAAGAACCCTCAAGGCAAATACACGAGATGGAGGGGGATCAAAAGCACAAAACCTGTTGAAACATTAATCATGTATATGAATAAGTGACTAATGCATTTGATGCTTCAACTCCATTATTTTCAAGAACAAGCAGACATGGATTAAACACTATTTGAAAGCTCTCTTGATGCAAATGGAGGCAATGTTCAAAAAATTAATCTACTCCATGCATCCAATATTGATCGGCAATCAATTAGAAACAACCATTCCATTGAGGAATTCTTAGCAAATTGAAAAAACCACCACATTAATATTCATTTGGCGTGCAGAATGTATAATACAAACAAAAAAAATTAAGTGTTAAGCAAGTAAATCAAAAGTCAAAACCTATTTGGTGGAAGAGGAATGTTAGTGACACTCTTTCTAACACTTCATTACTAACCGAAATTTATTGAAAATCATAAATTGTAATAGGTCTTGCATCTTATTTATTGAGTCTCTCTTTTGATTTAATGATGAGATCTACTAAATTTTTTATTTTTCAATAAATTTCAGCCAATAATATAGTGTTAGAAAAAGAGTGTTGCTAATTGCTAGCATTCCTCTTGTTGGAAAAAGAACACTTGAGTATCGCAACCAACAAAAAAAATATAAAAGCAAATAATTATCAGATAGCAGAAACAAAGACACAGGCTTACTATTTTGCACAGTTCAAGTAACAAGTGTTGAAACTGGTTATTGTTTAACAGGTTATTAGTAGATACATATTTAAGAACTCAGTCCGCCCCCTAAGAAAACTATACTTCTCTCCAGTTTCCACTGTTTTCACAGAAAGGAAATATAAGGAACTCAACTTAAATACTAGAACCACTCAAAAACTATCCAGATGGGAAATATTCACTAATCATTATCAGTAAGAAATGACATAAATGCTACTTAAAAAAATGTGATAGATCTATTACATGAAAATAAAAGGCCAACACATTTGTAATTCAACAAAAGAAACATCAGTCAAGAATATAATTGATAATTAAGGACAAAAGCACTATTTAGAGAGAAAAGAAGAAACATGAATTTTGTGTTTGAATTACATTGCAAAGCTTATATTTATATCATTATTATTTAAGTGTTATAAATACAAAGATAATTTACACACAATTACAAGAATATACCATTACTCTAATTAATATATAGGTCTGCCTTATTTACATTTTTATTATAATTAAACTATTTACAGCACTTTCCCTCAAACTATATACGCAAGTTTTGTCTTTTATGCTCCAGCTTAGTAGGAGAATTCCAAAATCATAGTCTGACCTTTGTTGTCATACAAGAGAGCTTTTTTTCTTGACAAAACCAGCATATATTTATATTTTCTTTTAGCATGCAACATGCATATTACAAAAATAAAACTCCAAAATAGTTTTAAGAAACCAAGTAAATCAAAACCTATATGTTGGAAAAGGAACACTTGAGTATCTCAACCAATAAAAAAACATATAAGAAAGCAAATAGTCATCTGATAGCAGAAACAAAGACACAGACACATTATTTTGCATAGACCAAGTGGGAAGGTAATGAGAACCTAAGGAAAATCCCACCACAAAAGCTAATTGTTGTATTTGGAGAGTCCATGATTATATAAACCCCACACTAGATTTCATACTTCCAATGTACGACTTAATCTAATACCTTGCAGTTAAATCCTAACATCACAACACACTCTGCAGCCGCATGGCACCCATGCGGGCTGATTGTGTGCTAATCCTTTGACTAGTCCTAAACAAACACTGCAATGCTGGTAATACCACCTGCACCACTCGTTTTCAGATGAGAGACATAGTAGAAGGCTCTAATACCAATTGATTAGAACCTTAAGAGAGCTCAAGGACATATAAACCCCACACTAATCCCATACTTCCAATGCTAGACTCAAATCCTATACCTTGTAATTAGATGCTAAAAACACATTCTTGATATCAAGCAAATAAAGTGGCCAATGACAAATAACAGTCATAGACAAGAATAGTTGAACAGATGTCATTTTAGCCACAGGGGAAATGATGTCACCATAATCTAAGCCAAAGGCCTATATATATCCCTTGCACACCAAATGAGCCTCAAATCAATCAACTTTAACATCAAAGCCATCTTTGACCATGTAAATCCACCTACAAGCTACAACAAACTTCCCTGGAGGTGATATTAAGAGAGAGAAAACAAGAGACGTGATGAATTCTGTGTTTGAATTACACAGTGGAACATATATTTATTAGGTCATACATACAAGGACAATTACACACAATTACAAGAATATATTGTTACTCTAACTAACATACAAATATAATTATACCCTATTTATAATATTACTATAATTACATTATTTCAACAGGCATAATCATACAAAACACTTTTTTTTTTTAAAACAGGGTATTGTACCGAAAGAAGCAGTTTACATGCTTATTTAGAAATCCAAATAAATAATCATGCTTGTTATAGGAAAGGATGACTAGAAATAATCTAAAAATTCCATCCAAAAGCACTTTAGTTATTAAACAAGATTTTACATTGCAGCAAAGTGGAGGCAGGCCAACACTGTACATCTGGCAGCTGATCAGATGACTAGAAGAATGTCGAGTGATTCTGTTAGGCATTGAACAAAATCAGGAAAATATCAATACAGTTGAGAAAGTGAGAGAGTATTTGTTATAGGAAAGGATGGGTAGAGGTTGTGGGATCTGTGAAGTATTCTCTTATTTCTGGTGTTCTCTCTCTATCTGATTTCTTCTTCTCTTTGTGTTGTATTCTGATGTGTTCTGCTTGGATAGACTGGGATCTCAATTCTGCCCTATTGTTACACTGATTTAGATAGACATTTAAACTATTTGGGAATTTCTGTTGTAATCTATTGTGCTGCTAGCCTGCTACTGATAAATTGCAGGGCAATCATAACATGAGGACACGAGTTCTTCCTCACCACTATACCAGGAATCAAATTGGAATGTGAAAGGTAAGACCATTAGAGCCTCTATAGGTTAAGAAAATATTTTCTATTTTATTTTCATGGTTTTCACCAACATTTCATATAAAGATTTTAAAAACAGGAAACAAAGCAAAAATAAAATGACATTTTTTGTAATTATTAGTAGAAAAAACAAAACATTCCATTCATGAATCAAAACTTAGAATCTCACCTACAATTTACCCTAGTGAAAACCCCATATTACCACATAGAAACTAGACACAAAACAAGATAGCACACCGTACAGCAATAAAGAAACAACTAAACGCTTGAACATTGCATATAGATGAAAAATTAAACACTCGGACAAGGATAAAAGGAAATACTTTATAGCATCATGGGCTTTGGATTCCGGATATTTTTTATAAAACTTCTTCACATAAACATCCTCAGGAAGAGTGATGGTTGGAATTTTTCCAGCAGCTCGAGGAAATGTTGCAGGTGGTGCCCTGGTAAATACAGTCAAAAATAAAATATTACACAATTTTTCACCCATCAAGAAAAATAAAAATCATAAAAAGATGATCAGTTTGCTCAAATAAACATTCAAAATAAAAATTCAATAGTTCCTAAAATCATTAAACTCAGAAAGTGCATTGTAGACTTGAATAAAGGTGTCAGTGAAAAAAAAACTCAGACGGGAAATTCTCAAATGACAAAAGAAAAACATAAAATCTAAATACGGAGGCAATGATTGAAGAGAATGAATCTGAAATAGGAGATTAACTGTTCCATGGCTTTTAGCCACAGGGGTTGCGGTTTGGCCAAACCCTTGACAAGCTTCCTAGTTCGAGAAAGCAAATTTCCTCGCATAAACGACATTGTTTAGCTTATTTGTTGTCCTTCCTTATCTCTGTTTCTAGATGCTTCGATGTGCCTCTTGCTATTGCAAAGTGACTGCAAGAACAAAAAGAAAAAATTATAAATAGGGCACAATAATATTGCCACATTAGACTAGATTTTTCAGCAAACCATCAAAAATGGGTTTAAATTATAGTTGAACTAATTTTAAATAATGTTTTTGAGAAAATTAATTGATTTAAACAAATCAATATTAAATTTTTATTTATAATCAATATAAAATTTAATTACAATATGTTTACAGTGTAAAAGTTTTATATAATATTTATCAAATTACATATAACTCAAATATGATAAATTTTAACTTTGGTACTAATTGGTAGAGGAGAAAAAAATAATTGTCGGAATTATGATTCCTAAAACTGCTAAAAATATAGTTGGTTAGCTATAAGAATTTTTTGGAATGTTTATGGATACTTCCTGAAAAATTAAAAATTTATATTTGATTTTAATGGGATATTTTCAGATATGTAAGTATTTATTTTCAAAAATATAATTTTAAAAAATAACTTCATTTGCTTTACTTATGTAAAATTTTTCTATTTGTTTTATTTTAATGGTTTTAATTATCATACAAGAATTTTTATTGTTAAAAATAAATTTTGTTACTTTTGGAAACAGGGAAAAACTAGGAATATAATATATTTCTTTAACTCAACCAGGTGTTAGACAAGTTTGTTTAGCTTAAAAAAAGTGATTTAAAAAAATAATTTATTTTCAAAAGATTCTTATATACAAAACTGATTTGTGTTTGGTGTTACAGTCACAAAAAACACTTTTTTAACTAAAAATTTTCTTTAACTTGTTTAGAAGTGACAATTGTAGAAGTGCTTTATGTAATACAAATTTAAATAAACGACCTTATAAGAACTTTTAAAGCTTGTAGAAATGGTACAAAGGGGGACCCAATTTAATGGCTGCACATTTCTTTGCCAACCATTTATCACTTGAAATGGCCAATTGCAGACACCAACCATAACAAGAAGTGTCTCCTTTCAAAGGATAATAATGAGTGTAACATAAAATCATGTTTGTTTTCTAAGAGGGTCCTTTTGTTCACAATCAAAGCAAGCAAGCGTGGGTGCTGGCTGTGTGCCTAGTGCACCAGCACCACCCCAATCCAATTGCACAGCCCGTCACAGCACCACAACAAACATTTTTCTAAACCATTTTTTCGTATGTGACAATAAAAGTATGCTTACTATCACTATTGTTCCCTTGTGAGGTGAAGTTTAGGTTAGGTTAGGTGTCCTAATAATAAGATGTGAGTGTCGAAAAGTATGAGATCCCAGTGTAATGGTTTGTCAATTACTTGATTGTAGTGCCTACTGCCTATAATTGCCCAAATGTAAAAGCTATAATTTTCTACTGTTAATAAATTATATGATTTCGTTTAAGAATGATTAATAAATGAGTTTTATATTGAGTACTAAAGGCTGAACAGGCCTGAATTATGTCCAGTAAGAAAGCGATTGAATCATCTATATTCTATACACATATACAGTCAATGATATTTGGATTCAACTGGCAGAGAGGCAGCTTTGTGAGGTTATGGTCGGTCATCAAATTCATTGACTCCTCGGTTAACACAAGGAGATTCAACCAAACATTAGCTAGTGGTTATGGCTTGCCCAAGAAACAAAACTTGATCTAGCTTGGAGAAGGCTAGCTATGGAGTCATATATCCATATCAGTCCTTTAGGAAATCAGATACCAACTTTTCTAAAGTTAATTTAAATAACTAAAGAGAGATGGGGGATGCAAGGAAAAGGATTATGATTCCTAAAACCTCGGATGGATTGAAGAAACACAAGAAAAAAAATGTGGGTGACAACAAAAGTTAAAACCCTCGCATGGCATTATTTGTGCTAATTAGCTCGCTTACATATTACAGTTTGTAGTTCAGATTTTATTGAATACCCTCCTCCAACATTAATGGACATCCACGGTCAATGCTAAGAAACACAATTTTCTACAGAAAGAATTCTACTCCATCAACGGTTCCTTTCCTAACCCATTTGGATCTCAGTTCCCATGAACCTAATCAATTGGGGCTGACTTATTTGTCACACACAGTTTAAAGGGAGCTAAGAATAATCTATATTTTACAATTCTTGTTAATTTAGGGTTAAGGGTAGGTAACTAATTGTAATTATTCTGAATTTATAAACTGATTCCTTAGCTTTCCTAATGATTGATCTAAAGGCTCTCGCCTTCCTTACCAATGATAAACAGCACAGTCTACATCAGAGCATCATTTCAGCACAATCTATAACAGAGCAATACCAAGTCCGAAACCCAACGACAATGACGACATTAATTAACGAATCCACACACCATGAACAAATTTAGATATCAAAGTAAACAAAAAACATATTCTGGAAAAAAAAATTAAAACTACAATCCAATAACAACACAAACCTGAAGTAAAACGACGAGAGGAATTCTGCAAATCAAGGAGAGACCAATGCTTAGACGAATCAAGGATGAAGATGCTTAGGTTATTAGAAGAAGATGACCCTTAGCCTTAGGTCACGATAGTGCAGAGCGTAAAAAGCACTGAGGCTAGTCACTGTCATTTAAGATTTTAATTTTAACTATTGTGTTTTTGTGCATAAATTTCACTAAACCAGTGTTTTTTTTTTAATGTTTTAAGTTGTTTCTCAAAAAAGAAAAATCTTCTATTTCTTTAAAAATAAATTATCTAAACATGCATGAAAATTCAATAATTAATTTAATATATCAAGAAAGTTTAATTTAGTTGGTTGAATTTAAGTAAAATATATGTGTAATGTAAATTTCTTGTATTGAGTACGATTTTCATAGTAAAAAAAGTATTTTAATATGATAACAATTAAATTGATTTATGAGAATTAAATTCAATAATATTTAAATTTATGTAAAACTCATTTTTATTATTTCGTAAATTATTTGGAGTTTTTCTTATGTAAGTTATTTATATTTCATTATTTTTTATTGGTGCAATTTATATAATTTACATATGTATCATATGGAAAAAAATTATAGAGATCATAACATTTATAAATAACATATTATAACATTTTATGGTATGTGAATTGACATAAAGTTTAAAAATTAATATAATGAAATTATAGTTTTAGATAAGTCATGTTATAAATATATTTTTCATAAATTTTAAAATTATAAATATGTTAATATGATATTTTAATATTTTTGTTTCACTTTTAGATATGTTTGGAAGAGATGAGAGTGAGAAGAGAGAAATAAAACATGGTGATAATAAAATTCTGTTTGGTTAAAAAGAAAAATTGAAAGAAGAAAAAAGTGTGATTTCTATAAAAGAAGTTCAAAATTATTTTTCTTTTCACTTTCCATTCAATATGCTTGTAGTTTCATGCAATCTTTGGAAATTTGATTAGCATACTTGTCAGAATAAAGGGAAATGGAGACATGAGTTAGGTGGTGAAGGTTAAAAGATAAATCAGCCATTGGATTTCGTAGGAGATGGATGCAAGGACCCTGTACTTTTTTTTGCAAGAGAACCAAGAAATTGTACTACTTTCTGAACTTATGAAAGAGGACCAATGAAAAGAGAGAATCATGTGGTGGATTTGTAAGAATATCAAGGCAAGTTGAACAGCTAGAGTTATTGAAGGTTGAGTTTCATATCATATAAAGAAACTCTTGCCAAGAGAGCCTTTGCGATAATACAGAATTTGAATAGTAGCATCATGATGAACTTGCATTGGATGATCATGAATTAGCAAGTTCATCATATATATATATATATATATATATATATTATATGAATAGTAATTCGTCTACCAATCTATCATCCTTTCCTATTAGGTGTTTTATGAGTTAATTTAAGTGGGATTTTGTTAAAATAATTATCAAATCGATGAAGATTTCATGACGGGTCGGATTTTATGGATAGGATATGAGAATTTTTTTTTAAAGTGAAATTCTTAAATTTAAATAAATGACTTACATTTAAATATTATAAATAAATTATTATAGTATTATTGTTATCATTTTATTTTTATTATTATTATTGTTGTTGTCACTATTATCATCACTTACATTAATAATATCGTCATTGTTATTATTATTATCATTATTATTTATTATTGTTATTATCTTCACTGGTATTTTTATCACTATCGTAAAATATTTTTGTACATTTATGTTTCTTCTATATATTTTTTTATTTTTTTGAAAAATACTAACCAATAACCACTAATTAAGAAATTAAAAATAATTTTTTATTGAAAAATGCATTTGCATATTCTTTTATATAACTTTATAATATATTTTAATAACTTTTTTACACATTAATTCCTTAACTCGTTGTCTAAGGACACATGTTAGTAAGACCTTCATTTGTAAATGAGAGGATCCATTTTTTCATTAAGTAAATTATCTTTATCATTAATAAAATTGTTGGAAAATTCATTAAATTTCAAAATATTGTAACTCTTAATCCACTTTTCGTAGGTTTCTAAATACTACTTGAAATTTTAGAACTATTTGTATTTGTTCTAATGGAAGAACTTAGTTTGAGTTCTAAACTTACTTTATGTAAGTTTCACAATAGAATTATATTTTTTAAAAGAATTTTGCTAAAAATTAAAATAATTATTTATTTAACTATAACTTGCATAGTGAGAACTTGTCCTTCCAAATTTCATTAAACATCATATTTGTTTAATACATCAATGTTATTATTTTACTCTAATTTTTTTTTTTAAAAAAAATACATGTCAAAATCATAAGTTTTGTAACACTCCTATATTAAGTATTATTATATGTTTGGCATGATCTCCTCTTAAAAATTGACATTTCCTTTTTTAATACATACAATCAATAGAATTCAATATGCCTAAAAAGTTATGTGCATAATCAAGTTGTAACAGACATTCATCAATATCATTGTTCTTAGGTCTTCTCAATACTTAACTCAAAATCATGGTTCTAAATTGGCCGCAATATTGTTGTTGCGATACTTCTTGCAATCACAATAGCCTGTAAATACAGTGTGTTTTTAAATCAAAAATTTTGTAATGCAACTTACAACATATCTGCAACACAATCACAATAAATTTGTAAAATTATCTTATTCCACTTTTTTGGTCAAAAAACACTTAGATTTGAGTTTTAATCTTCTAGTCTAATAAGTTTGGTCACATGGAATGTTAAGAGGGGAAGGGAGGTAACTAATGATGGTTGGTTGGAGTGTTGGAAGATGCATGTGTTAAACGATTGACAAATGTACCAAATCGTGTGTAGTATTTTCAAAATAAAATCGTATCCCAAGAGAACTTGTGTAATATATGACAAATGTAACTCAATACACTATACTATTACTCATAAGAATGAAATAGCAATTTGTTTGAAGTTTGGTTTTTGAATAAATGAACCATAAGGCAACAACATAAATAATAACAATGACTTTTCTTTTGGGATTTTTGTCAAACATGTAAAACAATACTTAAGTAAAATCAAATGAAGAGACCCATTGAGATTGGATTTCACTAAACCACCATCATGTACTAGTTTATAAAAGACTTTTCTCTATGTTTCATCTCAACATCAACAAAACCACAAAAAGTCACCAAACCCTAATTCCTTAGAAACTTGAAAACATGTATTTCACTCAAATCTCCAATTCCTTGACTGATTTGACTCAAATATAAGCATTAAAAATGGGCAGTTCACAAATGTCCATTAAGCTTCATATTCATACATAAATATGACTCTCAATGTGTGTTTTAACTCTTACATAACAAAAAAAAAAAACATTTTCTAATAACAACTAAAAACATAAATTACTCAAGCTACAATAAATCAAGAAAGCATTAAGAGAAGAGTAAAAATATTAATGAATATAATGAAATATAGATTAATAAAGTAAAATTAATACATAATGTTCAGCTAATTACATCCAATCCCAATAAGTGAGATTTTAGCTATAAGCAGCCATTAGAATCACAAAAAATGACAAAGGATTGAAGAAGTGAAGAAATACAACTCCCTATGGTGTTCCCAGCCGCCAATGTTCTTGCTAATAGTGTTAGCAATGATCCCTTCGAATCCCTAAGTCAACCCTATTAAAGACATTTTTTTTGTCGTCCAAGTACAAGTATCTACTAACTTTCGCTTAGCAACCATATTAGCTTGCTATGCTAGAAAACATCTTTACTACTCCAAGGTTGTCTCACTCAACTAAAGAAGATTCGTTGAACGAGCCACTTGATTTGTGCTAATTATCAAATTATTGCTTAACAACCATATTAGCTAGTTGAGTGAGGTGACTCCTATGTAACTCTCCTTTTTGCAACTCTAGCTCAATGACCAATTTGTCTCGTAGAGCTAAAATCAACTTCAATTCCCAAATTTTTTGATTGATTCTTAAATGTTGAAACTTGCAACTTTTTTCATTTCTAACATCTCTACAAAAAAAAAGTTTCATATATGAGATTTAAGCTAAAATTCATAAAAGTTACAATGAATTATAAACTTAACGAACTTATACTAAAAAAATACTGATAACACTCAAAATAAGGAAAAAGGAAAATAATTATTATGATTTACATACTTAATATTAAATAAATCACACAATTATCAGCATGATATATTTTTTAAAAATAAATAATTAAAATAAAAAAATTTTGATTGATTTTTATTATTATAAAAATAATTATTTATATTCGATACAAATATAAAATAATTTTTGTTCTTACCGGAGATCTGCTGTAGAGATGATCCGCCAAGTAAGATCGGCGAGCCTCTTTCACTGATACGTGTTGTGCTCCAAGATGGGAGTGGTACCTGCAAAAGAGACTTCGATGCCAAAGTTAGGGTTTGTATGAGTATGAGTCTCATATAAGTAATGCACGTACCTTGGTGTGAATTAGGGTTGCGTTGGGCCTTGGGCCTAAGATTAGTTACAATCTGATGAAGTGACGAGCTGACGTCACACAGCGCCTATCCGAGGTTGTCTTGCGCTGTGATGTCGAGCTGTGAGCTCAGCCTCGCAGTACGGATAGTACACTAGCCCCCCGAGCTCCGAAGACCGTGGGTCGAGGAGTTTAGGACCGAGCTCGTCAAGGAGTAGTGACCTTTCGTGTATAACTGCCTGTTAGGATGCCACGTGTTGCAACTGTCGTTTCGTATTTCGAAACGCGAGGTCGGCGCGTTAATGGGCATGACGATTATGTAATGATGGTTTCCTCTATCATGATGGGTCTCATTTAATACGTGGTCAGGCGTGTCCCTTGGGTGACACGTGTTGTGACCGTTTTGAATTTTGGGGTATTCTTTTCTCCCACTCGCGCCTCTTCCCCTTTGACTTTACTCTTTTCGTTTTCTTTCTTCTTTGGCTTCTTGTGCAAGTTGCTTCCTGCATTTTCGCTTCTGTTCAGTTTCCATCGCCGTTTCCGGCAACTAGGTTTCGCCTATTCCTACTCGCTCTTTCTTTTGTCAAAGGGGTACGAGGTACTTCGATTTTCCTATTTTCTCTTTCTTCTCCAATCTTTCCTTCTTCGAGTCTTTCTATTTTCCTGATGGTTAGAGAGAGTGGTGCCGGGTCTTCCGC